CATTCTAGTGTGCTGCAATGCTCCCCAATAAGATCTATCCACCTATGAAGTTTCAAGTTGTTACCTCTAACATTTTTTTTTAGATAAGCTCCGGACAAAAAGTTTAAAAATAACAAATGGCAATAACTCAAACATTATAAAGGATAGAGTTATCATTCTTGCGCACAACATTCCTCCTAAAAAGTGTATCCACCTATGAAGTTTCATGTTGACATTTCAAAGACTTTTTCAGAGATATGCTCCACTGAGGTGAAAAAATTAGTATGATAAATAACAAAGGGCAATAACTAAAATTTATGAAGGGTAGAGTTATCACTCTTTTGCACTTCATATCTCCTGAGTGAGATCTGTCCACCTTTGAAGGTTCATGTAGATATCTCAAAGGTTTTTGTAGTTATACCCTGGACAAAATTAAGTATGAAAAATAACAAAGGGCAATAACTGAAAAATAATGCACGGTTAGTTATCATTCTAGTGTGCTGCACTTCTCATCAAAAAGAGCTATCCACCTATGAAGTTTCAAGTTGCTACCTCTACCACTTTTTTAGATATTCTCCGGACAAAAAGTAAGAAAATAACAAATGTCAATAACTCAAAAATTATAAAGGTTGGAGTTATCATTTTTTCGCACAACATTCATCCTCAAAAATGACATCTCAAAGTTTGTTTTTTTAGTTAATTTATGCTCCACTCGGGTGAAAAATTAAGTATGAAAAATAACAAAGAGCAATAACTCAAAATTTAGAAATGGTACAGTTATCACTCTTGCATTGCACACCTCCTGAGTGAGATCTATCCACATGAAGTTTCATGTTGATATCTCAAAGGCTTTTTGCTGTGGACAAAAATTGAGTTTGAAGAATAACAAAGGGCAACAATGAAATAAATATGCAGCGTAGAGTTATCATTCTTGTGCACTGCACTTTTCCTAAAATATGATTTATCCACAAATGAAGTTTCAAGTTGATACCTCCACCTATGAAGTTTCAAATTGATACTTTTTGAGATTATATGCTCCGGACAAAAATGTAGTGACGGACGGAAGGACAGACGGCCGGATGGAGACTAATTCTATATCCGTCTTTTCGGCGGGGGGGTAATAAACATTTTCTTGTTCATATCTAAAGGAAACTCAAAATTTTGCTCACAATAACGTGACATGAATTCTGAATGAAGTTTGATGTTGTGGTAAAAACTGATTTAAGGACCAAATTAAGTTAATGGTGAATGTTAATTGTGAAACGCATATAGAAAAACCAAGTCTCATTTTAGAGAATTGCGCAAGAAAAATGAAATTATTAAACAAGAGGGCCATGATGGCCCTGAGTCGCTCACCAGAAACAACTGTTTTTCAGTGCTGGAAATTAATTTTCAAAAGAACTTGCTGAAAGGCAAGTCCAGCTCTTTCGGCAGTTCAGCTCGATCAACTTTAATTTGCCCCTTTAGTAATATACTTTCACAACACTGATTGTTTTAGCTTTTTTTCTTCATAATAAACAATAGGACCACTAAGATGGCCCTAGATGACTCATCTAACCCATCATTTCATTATTCACTATAAAAATTGTAATATTTTGCCCTTATATTTTGGAAAGGATTTGTTAAAATATGTATGTTGCAAGTGTGTTCCTATGAGACTATGTAGAATAAATGCATAACAACTGACCACTAGAGCAGGATTAATTTTGATTGGACATTTTTTTTTAAAACTTTCTTTGAATGAAAACACATGCAAAACATGTAAGGTGTAGTTGTTTGAAGTTCACAGTTTGGGACAAATTTACTTATACATTCTGTATGGTAACATAACTGTACCTCAAAAAAAGACAATAGGTCAAACATTGTAAAAAATATGAAAAGTAGGCCAGTTAATATCAAAATTTAATTCAGCATCAGAAATTACACCCCTAGTCCAAATTTCAAGTCTGTATGTCAAGAACACAAGAATGAAAGTCAAATTATATCAAAAATATCAAAAGTAGGTCAGTTGATATCAAAATTCATTTCGACATCAGAATTTACAAACCTGGTCAACATTTAAAATCTGAATGTCAAAATACAAGACAGTAGGTCAAATGATGTCAGTAATACCTAAAGTAGGTCAGCTGGTATCAAAATTGAATTCAACATCAAAAATTACACAAAATACACCCATAGTCCAAATTTCAAGTCTGTACATAAAAGACAAAAAAAAGTAGGTAAAGCGATATCAAATATATCAAAAGTAAGCCAGTTCATATCAAAATTCAATTCAGAAACAGAAATTAAACCCCTTGTCCCTTGTTAATTCAACAACAAAAAATGAAAAAATTACAATTTTTTTTCAAAATTCAATAAGAAAATTGAGCAGATAAACTCATCTTTGATAGTAAAGTACAGGAGAAACAAATTTTATGTTTCTTTAGGCCTATTTTTTCCTGGTTAATGACCTACAACTGACCTTACAATGATGCAGTAGTCCGAATTCCAGAGCTGAAATATATTTACACATCATAAACAGGTCATGACCCAAGCCAATGAAATTTATGAAATTCTTGCTGAAAATGTCTTATTTGGATAAAAGAATGAATATACTATGTACAGGAAACTGCATATGCTATTAGAGGCAATGTAAAGATGGTCTTTTCTATAAAAAAAAAAGAAAAAAAAAGTTTTTGTAATGACACTATCATTATATTTATACTGTGACCACGAATAGTGTTAAGAGTTTAAAACATAACATATCTACTTTGTGTGAAGTCAAAACACGTATATTTCATATTTATATTTATAAGGAGACTGTGTATCCATTGTCAATATTTTTTTTATATTAAAATTAGAGCTTAGAATATCTTTAAACTTTAATTTAAAGAAATGCTAGTGCATTTAAGCTTTAGCTTTAACAGGACCAATCAAACTAATATGAGCAAACTTGATTAAAGACTACCCAAGAATGCTACTGACAAAGTTTGGTGATCATCCATCAATTGGTTCTGTAGAAGAAAATGTCTAAAGGTTTTCTATTTTAAGCCTTAGTGACCCCTAAAAGGGGCCAATCAAATTAATATGAGCAAACTTGATAAAAGACTACCTGAAGATGCTACAGACAAAGTTTGGTGATCATCCATCAATTGGTTCTGTAGAAGAAGACGTTTAAAAGTATTTCCATTTTTAGCTATAGCAGCCCCTACAAGGGGCCAATCAAATTAATATGAGCAAACTTGATAAAAGACTACCCAAGAATGCTACAGACAAAGTTTGGTGATCATCCATCAATTGGTTCTGTAGAAGAATTGTCTAAAGGTTTTCCATTTTTAGCCCTAGTGCCAATCAAATTAATATGAGCAAACTTGATAAAAGACTACCTAAGGATGCTACAGACAAAGTTTGGTGATCATCCATCCATTAGTTCTGTAGTAGAAGATGTTTAAAGGTTTTTCTATTTTTAGCTCTGCTGAACCCTAAAAGGGGCTTATTGAAATGGCATGAGCAAATTTAAGTGTGACTATCACAAGATTGCTATATACCAAATTTGAGGTAAATCTGTTCATCAGTTTCAGAGAAGAAGATGATTGTTTACGCATGACGACGGACGACGAACGACGGACGCCGGAGTATCCCCTCTGATACTTATACATGTAGCTCACCCTGAACCTTCGGTTCTGGTGAGCTAAAAAAAGAAGACAATTTAAGTTCTTAATTGCAAATATAGAAACTTAGGAATGTAATGTTCAAAGACATTTTACACGTGAAAAGATTCACTCCGAGAGAGACATAGATCCGACATGAGAACACATTAGTCAAAATATGTCGTCCCTTCGTGTTTTCGCATTTTCGCATTTTGAGGCGAAGACGCGAAAATATTTGGATGGCGTTAATCAGCCACCATACATAATCCATTCAAGGCGAATTTCTCAAGCATGTCGAAAGGATGTCCGGAAATGTGTTAATATAAAACGCTGATATTTCGTGTGTTGATAAAAATACTGTTTAGATTCTATATGGTTTTGAAAAAAAAACTGTTTCTATGTAACTTTTCACGGAAATGGGCTGTACAATGATTACGTAAAAACAATAAAATGTCGGCTGTAGAAATCGAAAGGCATTTTGTCACGTGACTTTTGCCCATGCTACCGAAAACTACCCATCACAATATCACGGCGTTGAGACGCCGTGAAATAAGAATCCCTAGAGAAAGCCAAATGCGGCAAAATTGAAAATGTTGCAGGCTCGGTTTGATTTAGCCTGTTCATGGACGGTACTGTCAAATGCAAACTACCGTCCACGCCCCCTAGCCCCGGTTAAGTAGAATTCAACATTTAACATGAACTGGTAAAATTTAGAATTTTGAAACATCCGCAGATGTGTTCATATGGCGGTTATCATTGAACCTTCAATGTGACACGTTATTGCCATTCCATGAAAAGCGGCATATGGTCCCAAAGTAAAAAAAAATGCGTGTGCCCTAATCGAGAAAACAATTGGGCGGTATCGTATAATATTTGATAAAGTACTACAACGTTGTGTCTTCTTTTCTCAGTTTACTACAAGTATCTACGTCAAACAATAACAACAAGACGTCAACGTATCACAAAGCGCCATTTACGTACAAAGTAGCGCGGGAAAGTATAATATGTAAATTTACGACATCCTGGGGGCCGCGAAAAGTAATAAATAGCACATGAAATTGCACGTATGTTATCAATGTATAAATCTGATTTAAAATGTATTAATTAATAAGAAAATGTTCATCATTTAAATCTGAAAGTCTCTGTTAACGCGATTCATTTCGTATATTATTTAAATGAATAAGTGTAGTTTTGAACTTTTTTCAGTGTGCTATTTGAAAGTCTCTATAAAATCTCGAATAACTGGTTCCTAGCCAGTTTAGAGATAATGTTGCGTTCTACAGTTGATGGAATTCTGGACTCAATCTCCGCTCCAAGGTAGGGTAAGGACCTAATTTTGCGACCATATAACAGGTGCGCTGGGGTCAATGGCTCAGGGTCTTCTAGGCTTGATTAAACGAACGTCAGTGGTCGATCGTTCAGCAGGGACTCAATTTCGGTTACAATGGTTTGTAGAGTCTCTAAGTCTACCATTGCACGGCCAAGGATCTTCTTGAGAGTTTGTTTTGTAAGACCTATCAGTCGCTCCCACCAACCTCCGTACCATGGGGCTCTCTCAGGTATAAATTTCCAATCAATGCCAGTATTTGCTAGGGACTCTCTGACGACCTGGGATTCGAACATGGCTTTCAAATAAGTAGACGCCGTCTGGAACGTTTTAGCGTTGTCTGAAACTATGAGCTTGGGTTGCGACTTCCGGCTTGAGAATCGTCGTACAGCTTGTAAGAAACAGTCTGCTGATACACTTGTAACTACTTCAAGATGAACGGCCCTGGTAACAGCACATGTAAATAGACATATGTATGCCTTTTTCTCTGTTCCAGAGGGTTCTTTGATATATAATGTACCAGTAAAATCTACTCCGGTAATGGTTAAGGGTGGGGCTTCTTCTACTCTAAATTTCGGCAATAGGGGAACTTCAGGTGACTTGTATGGAAGTCCGTGCACTTTACGGCATGTGACACAGTTTCGGATTACGGCGTTCACGCATTGTCGTATCGCTGGTACCAAAAATGACTGTCTAATGCTGGTAACTGTAGCATTTAAACCACTATGACAGAGACACTCATGGGCATTGCGGACTATCAATTTAGTAAGTCTAGACTTCTTTGGTAGGAGGTACGGGTACTTTGTGACGTCATCCACGGCTGCGTTGTTAAGTCTTCCGCCGCAACGGATACATCCGGTCTGGTCAAGAAATAGTCGAAGCTGCTTTATTAATGGTGATTTGACCTGGTTTCTCACTAACTCCTGTATCTCTGTACTGTATACATCTGCTTGACAATAGTGTATCCACCGCTGTTCTGCTTGCTGAAGTTCACTAGTAGAAAGATGGTCGAAGTTTCGTCTCGACTGCTCGACCTTGCAGTTTTCAATAAATCGGCGAATATAAGCTGTAATGCGAAGTAACCGACTTAGATTGCTGAATTTCCTTATGTCAATAATATTCTGTATGTTATTACTAGATACGTGATGTGTAACTTCAGATATCATTTGCTCGTCTATCTCTGCTTGCTGACTTCCGGTGGCTTGCTCTTCAATTATCGTTTGCACGTGTAACCTGTTTGAAACCTCCCATATCGGCCATTTTGTCTTATCACATAACCATATCGGTCCTTTCATCCAAAGATCGTTCTTCATAAATTTTTCAGCTGTTATACCTCTCGTCAGTAAATCGGCTGGATTTTCGCTTGTTGGACAATATTTCCATGCATATTGGCTCGTAAGGTCACATATCTCTTTTACACGATTCTCGATGAATCTCTTCAGTGTCTTTTTCGTAGATAGCCAATAAAGTACGATTTGACTATCGGACCACAGTGTGATGTCTGCTGTAGGAAATGTCGTCTGCAAATATTTCGCTAGTCTAGCTCCAATAAGCGCCGCCATGAGTTCAAGTTTGGGCAGAGTTAAGGGTTTGAGCGGTGCCACGCGATTCTTAGCCATCACCAGAGTTGAATCTTTCCCGTTACAGATGAACGCCGTTGCACCGTACGATCTAATACTTGCATCCACGAAGATTTGCAAGGTTGTCCGACTGTCACTTCCGGTTTCGCCTGTTTCAGAGAAATATCTTCTCGGGAATTTAAATGTGGCAACAGTGTTCAAGTCTTTCGCTAGACTTGACCATGACTGTTGAATATCTTCTGGGAGTGGTACATCCCACTCGTACTTTCGTTTCCAAATGTCTTGTAATAGAAGTTTGGCTCGGACGGTAACAGGGCATAGTATTCCAAGGGGGTCGTATATCTGAGATGAATATTTCAATATTACTTTCTTTGTTACATAAGTAGAAACAGGGATATCTCTCTTCACATAGGTCACTTCATCTGTGGACGGCTCCCAACGTAGACCTAGGACTTTGGTGACGTCGTCAGTATCTAATATGTTGACTCTGCCGGCTTCTTGTTGTAACTTTTTGCTGTTGGAGTTCCAAGATCTCAAATTCATTCCGGCTTTGGACATCAAGGTGCGTGCTTCTTTCAAGTAATTAAGGCATTCTTCTTCTTCTTTGAAACTGGATATATGACGTTATCGACGTATAAATCTTGACGTAATACTTCTGATACAGTCGTATGTGGATTGTTGTCTAAATGTTTTAGTATCGTTGCGTTGAGTATGAATGGTGAACCAAAAAGCACAACTTTAAAACGATAAGTTGAAAAGTCACTGTTGGGGTCATTCGGATCTTTCAGCCATAAAAATCTTGTCATATCTCGGTCATCTGTATGTAATCCCACCTGCAAAAACGCCTTTTCAATATCTGTTGTAACAGCATACGCATGCAGACAAGATCTCAGCAAAATTGAGGTGAGTTCATTTAAGACTGGGGGTGTTGACTGTAGGCAATCATTCAGACTGGCATGGTGTGATGTTTTACGGCAGCTACAGTCGTATACAATTCTTATAGGCGTAGTTGAGGAATTTTTCTTTATAGGGTGATGTGGAATGTAATGGATGGGCTTTTTCGTCTGGATCTCTTTCTCTTGAACTCTTTCAATGAACCCTCGTCTCTCTTGTTCTACAATGATATCTCCATATTTTCTTAGCATATCGGGTTCTCTGCTCAATCTTCGGACAGTACTTTCAGTGCGTTTCAGGACAATGTCATAATTTGTAGGTAGTTCCGGGTGGTCAGTTTTCCATGGTAATCGTGCAGTATACTTTCCATCTTTGAATTCAATTGACGTCAGCTGATATTGTTGTCTTTCGTCTTGTAACTTCCGGTCTGTGTCATCTGGTGTAATTCCTAGATTTTCTAGACTCCAGAAACGTTCTATCGATATGTCCTCTGGTATGTGAGACACCATTACGTTCAAAATCTGTTCAACACTTCTGCTACTTTTACTTGAATTGATCGGTCCAGACAGAAGGTATCCGATTTTCGATTTAACGGCAGTAGGCCCTGTGCCACGTATAATCTCGTCCTCAACAATATCCCAGTAAAAGTCGGCTCCGATTAGCAAGGAAATAGAGAACTCTTTATCATGCGTTACTGGATGTGCCAATTTTAATCCTTTAAGGTAAGGCAAACTTGAAATGTCGGAGCTATGCGTGTTATCTATAAGTGTCGCTATAGTCGGGACAATCAGAACTTTCAGTGGTATTTTCTTTTTTCTGTCTGTAACAAGATACACTGTAGCTTGGTCAAAGTGTTGCATCTGATTACCTTTGCCACCAAACGCAGATATTCGGATTGTTTCGGATTTTTCCCTCTCTAATTGAAGTTCGTCTGCTAGAGTTTCGGTGATAAAACTTCTTTGTGCTCCTTCGTCAAAAAGTATGGTTGCTGGGCTACATATATCTTTGTAACAAACGTCAGCCATTGCTGTCTTTAGCAATACCCCGGATCTAAATTGATGCGCGGAAGAATACATCACTGTAGCTTCAGATGTGTGCTGTGTAGAACTTCTTGCACTGGAATTACGACCGCTATCAGACTTACAGATAGTTGTGTGATGCTTTCTGTTACAATTCTGGCATCTCTTAGTGGACTTACACGTGAATACTTGGTGTTTACCTAAACAATTAAAACACAGTTTTTTCTCCTTAATAACATTTAACTTTGACGCTACATCAGGATACTTCCGGCAATTTCTGGCTCTATGGGATTCCATGCAAAACGAACACTTAATTCCAGTTCTTGTCACATGCGCACTGTTCGAAACTCTGGTACTTCTTGCCCCGGTGAATAATGATGCAGTAGATCCGTAAGTTTCTACTTCCGGTTGAATCGAGTTGTATGATCCGGCTTCCATAATATTAATTTCGTTGTAAATAGCTCTACGTAAGTCACATAACAACCAATTCCTGTCACCGTGTCCTCTCGCGAGATTTTTTGTCATTTCTCCCGGAAGTTTGTCGAGCACAATAGGCACGAGTAAATCGCCGTAAGATTCTTGTTGCTGGCCCAAACTCTCCAGTGCACGAATGTATGTCTCCATTTTATCATAGAATTCACGAATATAATGTAAAGTATTTTTGGGGGCTGGGAGTTGAAGCAATGATTGCATTGTTGCGTGTATTATTTTATGTTTTTGGCCATATCTTTCTTTCAACAGTTCTGTCGCACGTGCATAGTTTGTATTTGTAAGTGCAAAACCATCAATAGTCCGATTCGCCTCTCCTTCAAGCTGACTCTTCAAATATGAAAATTTTTGCACATCCGTTAAGTTACAGTTGAGATGAACAGTTGACTCAAACGAGTCCCAAAATGTCTGCCAGCTTAAAATGTCGCCATTAAATTTCGGTAATGAAAGTTTAGGTAACCTATGATACTGTGCACTTGCCGACATAAAAGAGTGATTGTTACCTAGGCTGTTCTGTGAACCAGCAAACTGAATATTTCCTCCCGGAAGTTGAACGTTGACATGACTTCCGGTCTCTCCACCTTCTGCTCCATCAGTAAAGTTCTCCCGCATTTCGTCTGCACTTATATGACTATTTACTTCATTATTCTCGGTAATTTCACTCGTAGTCGTATGACCGTCTGTCTGTGAGTTCATTTGACGATACGCTCTAAGTTTCCGTAACTGAATCTCGAGTTCAAGCTTATATTCTTCAGTGGTAATGAGTTCTTCTTCGATATCCTCGACTCCAGTTTGAGATAGAATCTTCTCATCGAGTGCAACTTATGTATTTGTCTTCGATTAGAGGGCCTCCAGAATAGCGTTGAATTCTATTTTGTCTGATTTCTCCTTCGCTTCTTCGATTTTGCCCAAAAGCTTCGAAATAACGCTTCTGTTGCCGCTACGTACTAAAATTAACTTCTGTAGATTCATCTTTTTGTGTCACGGCACCAATATCGTATAATAAATGATAAAGTACTACAACGTTGTGTCTTCTTTTCTCAGTTTACTACAAGTATCTACGTCAAACAATAACAACAACAATGATAAACAATAATGACGTCACAGACGTCAACGTATCACAAAGCGCCATTTACGTACAAAGTAGCGCGGGAAAGTATAATATGTAAATCTACGACAGGCGGAACCAAATTAATGGTATTTTGAAAGGGGATTTGAGGTTAAGAAGCCTGCATATCACAGATACAACGTCAAAATACAAATTTAAAAAGCAGGCCTAATATCCTAAGGGTGATTCAACAGTATTCAATTGAGGAATACTAAAACCGCCCAACAAGAAAGGTGCCGAATAGATAGAACTAAAATACCACAAGCACAACAATGATGTCGTGCTGAACGACTTTTAAGGATCGGAAATATAACATCCCTGATTTTTTTAGTCAGTATCTTATTACACATACCTTTCTTTTGCATTTCAAGTTTGTTCTTCCTGGTTCTCCATTAATAAAACTATTCGGCAATTTCCATTTTTTTCCTTTATATAAATTTAATGTTATATCTGAATCTCCCTTTCCTCAAAATCATTATTTTTATTAGTGTGCATGATGTGCATGTCACACTCAGACCACAAAAACCCATCTGTTGGAAATTATTGTCTTAAACTTTCGCAAAAACAGTTATTTATCCAACATACTGATTATCTTGTCTTCCTCATCGGACCTTTCGCATGAGCTAAAGGTTCTTGCTTAACCGGGGCTAGGGGGCGTGAACGGTAGTTTGCATTTGACAGTACCGTCCATGAACAGGCTAAATCAAACCGAGCCTGCAATCATTTTCAATTTTGCCGAGTTTGGCTTTCTCTAGGGATTCTATTTTACATGTAAGACCTAGAAGTATTAGAGATTTATTACATTGATGCCAGCACTATTAAGTGTTAAGAATTGAGTACCGCTCAAGCCGGTGCTAGGGGACGTGAGGGATGTTGCACTTATTCATTATCCCTCATGTACAGACTCAATCAAACCGAGTCTGCAATTCTTATGTTATTTTGTTGTGATTAATGCTTCCGAGGGATCACTTTGTTTCCAGATTTTTTTGGCTATGTAATGCTTGTGAAATCGTTTTCATGATGCCTGAGGATGATCTGGTTTTTTTTTTCTTTTTTCTAAGCGTTTTTATACTACAAACAAACGTTTAACTAATTTTTAACTAACGATTAACAATGACCCTAATTTGATCAATATTTAACAATTGATCATTTCTCATCAACATTTTATCAACACTTTATGTTAAACGGGTTAATTCTCAACGTTGAAAAATGACCTTCTGGTCAATTTTCAACGGGCTTAAAATCTAATATTAAAGCCGGCGCTATTTGAAGATAAGTTTTCAAAAGTGCTGACTGAATGCATAATGTGTTCAATTAATTGTCGTTAAAGTGACTTATGTTGTTATCTTCAAAGTAATGGCAGTGACGTTTTTATTCAGAGTTTTAAAAAAAAGCTTTTTTAAAAATACATGTTTACAATCAAAATATTTTTTGTAAAATAGATAAATACTGAATCCCTAAAGAAAGCCCAACACAGCAAAATTGAAAATGTTGCAGGCTCGGTTTGATTGAGCCTGTTCATGAACGGTACTGGAAAGTGCAAGTTACCGTCCACGCCCCCTAGCACCGGCTTAAGCAGAATTCAACATTTAAACATGACATAGTAAAATTTTGAATTTAGAAACATCCGCAGATGTGTTCATAAGTCTTTTCAGAAGACAGGAGGTAAAAATAAATGCATGATCATCAAATAAATCTTGAAGACCGATAATGTCTTAGATAAATGTAGAATTGAACATATTTAACTGTTATAATCCAAACATTTCATACTGCACTTAGAAAACGTCAAAGTCAAGTTCAACTAGAAAGGTTTTTGTCACGAAAACATGTGTATGTATGGTCACTCATGTGAACTGTCATTGAACTCCCACCAGTAGCTTGACCTGTGAAAATCGGACACGATTTTTCTATTTATAGCTAGCCTCTGACAGACATTTTTTGCAGCGAAGTAGAATGTGCCGGTATTGTGCACAACTAGGGATAGCTCTGATCACTCCCACTGGTAGTTTGACCTGTGAAGGCCGGGCAAGATTTTTATATTTTTAGTTCTGATGGCCATTTTGTGCAGTGAAGCGGAACGTGCCGGTGAAGTGCACAACTACGGATGGTACTGATTTCTCTTGCAAAGTTTGTTTGAAATTCCACCAAAAGTTTGACCTGTGAAGGCCGGACAAGATTTTCTATTTTTACCTCTGGTGGCAAAGCGGAACATGCCGGTGATGTGCACAACTAAGGAAAGTAGTTATCACTCCTGTAATATTTGATTGAAATCCCACCAGTAGTCTGATGACCTGTGAAGGGCGAACAATCTTAATGCGGACGGACGGATAGAAGGACGGACAGACGGCAAAGGAAAAAGACAATATGTCTCCCAAAGTTTTTGGGAGACATAATTAAACGTTCTTTAATGTCTTGTCTAAATGATTGCAGTTACTGTGATAACACATTTCGTAATACAAATAGGTATAGCTTATTGAAATTGACCATGTCATAGTTAGCGAGTACCACACTTTTATAAGTAAAGTTGCACACATGTGATAACATGAACCATATTTTAATTCATTTTCTTGGTTTAAACTTGTTATACTTAATATTTGTTAAGCTTTGAAAAATGATAAAGAGATAAAAGGTAACGTTATGTTTCTTTCTTCAATTTCTCTTTGATTTAAAAAAAACAACTGAATTGAAAAAAAAGTCACCAATATGTATTTTTTATCATGTTAAATCATAAAACCATTAATATACCATCATGTCATTGGAAAGCAAATTATCAAGCAGAATATAAATGTTTTTACGGTATGTAAGTACATCTTGAAATTATCATTCGGAATATTTATGAAAATCACTTCAAGCAACAGAAATTTACGTGAAAGTTTTTTCCGCCCATTGTAAATTATTTACAATGTTCGCCACGCTATGTCCTTCTAGAGCTGTGATCACCGTTAAAACGTCGCAAATAAAGCCTTTATGAGAACTAAGTTATTCCTTTATGAAAGTCATCCAGCCTACAAACTGAATAAAATACATGATTGTACAATTTTACCAATTTCGGAAATAGTAGAATACATTAATTTACAGCCGTCATAAGTGCACGAGAATAAGTATATCATTAATTACTTACTTTTGAATTGTTTATGTAGTATATTTCTTCTAAACTGGATAATTTCACAAGCGTCGTTGTACTTCCTCTGACAATTTTTATACATAAGAAACGTTACTATTTAAACAATATTTGACTTCTGTACATACGAAATGGTGAGTAATCAAAGGCGTGTGCTACAATGACTTGTTGTGTCATGAGTGCCTGATAAGAAACCACACACGTCTTTTTATCATAAAATATGACCCAAAAGATTATAGAAACACGAAATCGATTATTTTTTATTTCCTCGTTTTTAAATCGTTTGACATTAAAAAAAAACATTATTAACGACCGAAACTGTTAACTGTTCCGCCATATTATGCCCCTCCTTTTTTAAACAAAATGAACCTGGTTCTGACGAATGAAACAAGTAAAATCTAGTATATTGCAAAGTATCATGTCACTTGTTTGTTTAAAGATACCGTAACCTGATGAATTTTTTATATCAACTATTTAAAGAATAGTGGTGCTATCCTTTTTCTCTTGGTGTTGTTATTATAGCAAATATGGTTAAAGGTTTGTGTGATATATCTTCAACATCAATATATCTCAATAAACCAATAAAATATTTACTTGTAACTTCACAAATGTTTGAGTTTATCCGTATTGGAGATCAAAAGCATGGTTTTGATATAATAATAGCCCATTTTAAACCAAACGTTTTCGTATTTATGTATGGACGTACGTACGTACGTTCGTACGTATGTATGTATGTGCACGCACGCACGCATGCAATGCAATTCATGGATGGATGGATGGATGGATAGATGGAAGTGCCAACATTTGGGGTTTATGTGCAACGGATGGATGGATGGATGAATGGATGTTCATTTATATCAATTAAACATAGGTCTATATACTAGTATACTACTCAACTTTTACTAAACACCATCAGTTAAATTTTATATTATCACATATGCTCTTTGTTTCAGTGTTATGTAACGTAATCTGATAGTCGTTTATAACAAAAAAAGTTCAAGATTAAAGTTAATTGGTCTATTTAAGGCACATTGTCAATGAGTATTTCAGATTTTGATTAAAAGCAAGTCATTTTTGTTTTGTACCTCTGCTCTAGACCTGGCATGTACAGAAATTATCAGTTTTTTGTGAAAGTGAAGGCAACTTGTATTTGTAAACTGTCTTACAGCCATCCCCGGAACGATGCGTGACTGAACTATGCTCTGGTGAATTCAACGTGCCTTGCGTGAAAACTACCAATACAACCAATAGAAATGTATCAATTCTTTCCAATATTACTTGTCAATGTACAAAACTGTTGATCTAGTTCAAGGTGTCACGTATTATACTACATTAATCCAACATATTTTATGGTATTGCATATGTTCCATTATGGACCGCTCCACATTAATTTACATAATTGTTTAATAATGCTATGAGATTCGACTCGATCACTTTTTTACAAGATTTACACAGTTTAAATTCTAATCTTTGATAGATACTATTCTTTTTGAAAATATAATAAAACAATACATATGTTATAATAACACGTGTGTTTTTAATCAATGCTATTTAAAAGTATGAACTTTCTGTGATTTGTTCAATATTTCAAAATATATACATAATATTATATGTAAATGATTTATCTGTAAAGATTACCAGAAGATCACATTGTATAAGAACAAATCTTTCTAACTATTACTTAATAAAACGATGCGGTATGTTACTTAAAAATTAAAGACATTTCAACTGTAAATCATGTAAATATACTTGTATACTATCCTGTAGGTACTTTACGTTATTAAAGTTCAGTTTTCTTTAACCAAACCTACTTATAACAATTAAAGAGTGTTGTAGTTTGATATAGGCAAGTAAGTAAAGAGATTAAAAAGCAAAACGAAATATAATTCTCTGTCTTGATATAGACTGTTGACTGAAAAGCAAGAAATATGTCTAATTACACTAAAAGACCCATTAAGTCTTATACCAGTATATGATATCATTTTACATTTGGTGCCCAACAACAATTTTCAAAAAGTTGCTTATTGGTCATATTTCTGAGCCAGCATATGTGTCTTTTTCTTTTCGGTTATTAGTACAGTTACAGTGAATTATTTATTATGTTTTGGAAGTTAAACTACCACTTTGTTTACATTTTGTTATCTTTATCACAATTTATTTCACAGCCAACACTATATCATTCGGGTGATGGACCTCTTACATATTTTCTCAATCAAATATAACTACAGTATTTCACACATATTTGCCCTTTCTGCATAATGAAAAGTTTATTCATTACCGAGGCATAATTTGCCCTTCCAGATGAGCCAAAATATTGAAAAAATTCAATCTTTAAAAAAATGTTTAAAGATCTTAAGAAAAGTAAAAAGATTAAATATTCAATTAATTATTTTCATGCTATGTACGATTAATGACTGCTTTTGCAGTATCAATCACTATAATTTTACTGCGTTTCTAACGCAGAAAGAGGTATTTATGTATACTTTGACCTCTTGTTGGTAATTAACGTGGATTTTAAGTGCCCTTTGCAATGTGTCAATTACTTTGCTTGTCCACTTCACAATATTTTACCTTTTAATACATTTTCAAACTTTCATTGAAATAAGCATTAATCTTGAGTCATGCTGCTTTAATAGCATTTAACAAACAACCCTCAGCAAGTGTATAGTTGTACATATCTTCTAATTAATATCTAGTATAGTCCTTTAATAAAACATTTTACTTCCTGACAAAGTTTATATGTCTCTGCAAGTTCGAAGAAAAACTGTTTACTTAATGTTGAGTAAACACAACTTTATAAACCTAGACATACACAAGTTAATTCAATCACGTTACAGGACACCGGATATGTCAGATTATCCAACAGTCTGAAATAAGTTCCGAAAATTAAACTGAACAAAGACATTGTCTGAATATAAAGTTTAATAAACAATTAATTATTTTCATAGCAAAAAAAATGTTTTGCCTCTAGAGAAAGGTTTTCTATTTATTTAAGGTAATTGATTTACATTGATTTTTATCGACAGTTATATTCACATCACACACGTAGAAAAAAAACGCATGTGGTACATAATATTTCACATATCAAATTCAATTTGAATGCACATCTGTTGCTTAACATTCGACAAAAATCAACATTTAAAAAAAACTTAATGCGTTTACAAATAATAATAATTAGATAGTATACAATGACAAAAAAGAGATACGCGACCAGACGGTCGTTAACAATACAAAAAAAGTTGTTGATAACGTCGCAAAATAAATGCAGCATGTCGTAAAGCTTTATTCTTATGTAAAGTACCGCTACATAGCACATAGACTCTGTACCCATCTCCAGAATTAACGTTTTGACCAGTGTTATTTGTAACATAAGCAAAATAAGGGAAGTCCAATAATGAAATCAATAGTGAATAATTCAAAAATACAACAGAAATGATATTACATCTTGACGAGCTGTGCCAGGTGTGCAAAACTATAGTAAAGATCAAACATTTACCATTTTAATTTTTTTTTAAAGAATGATTTGTTTCAAACTCTATAGACGGCCAGTTCTAATCGTGAACTCAGTAAACAAAAGGTCATTGCTTCACATATTACCCAATTGATATAATATTTTAATAATACGCATTTTATACAAAAATAGCATCTCTCCTATCTAACCAATAAAGGATTTTAACATTAAGCATTTTACATTTATATTCAAAACGAAGCATTGTAGGGCGAAAAATGGAACTTCTGTCATTGTTATAGATTAAATTTAAGTTATTTTGTTTTCAGGGACATATTTAAAAACAACATTTAATATGTACTCGTATCACAAGTTAAAAGCAATCTTTATAGCTATCCCCGACATATTTTGTCGTGTCTTTTGAGATACTTTGATACAAATAGTTTATTATGTTCTATGGCTACACTAAACTTTATCAAATCTATATTTATATTGAATTTCTCGCCATCGCAACCTACCATTTGCTTACATTTCATTCCAAAAGATCTACAATAAATAGTATCCTGCAATAAATTATTCATAAAGTTCCTTTTAATGGTATACAAATTGACAATTAATAATTATCTTATTGAATATTTCAATAAGCATTTTCAACAAATGTACAGTTTCAGTACTTATTTTCAGAAGCAGAATCAATTTCTTGATATGAATTGAAATAGATGTTTATAGCAAGACGTTTTTTTTCAATATATTGTTATTAAATTTGAATAATTGATTTGAAATCCTCACTTACTTGTGTATCACTATAGATTGTTTCAATCTGTGCATCATGATAATTGATTGAACCAGCAAGTTCGTCGTATTTTGTATCTTCCTACAAGGCCTACAAATTTAGCAGTGTTGGGCAAATTGATATCCTATTAAATTACATTATATTTAAATAGTAGTTAATAAAAAATCAATAAAACATTATGTTACTCACAAAACTATAGCTTTAACATTCAAGTGTAGTGAAAGCACAAGTGTTCTAAAGTGAGAAGTAAAAGTTTCTCTGCACAGCAATTCTGCATTAATGAAAGACATGTAGCCACATCAGTAGTTTTAAGTTTATTAGTTTAACAACACACTGATTAAGAAATATGTTACAATGGAAGTTCAACTGGCAATCTAGCGAACATACAGACAGAGGAACGACGAATAGCTGGACGAACAACGCCAAGTCTGTATCACCCCCTACCTATCCCCTCCCCCAATTTTGTCTCGCGAGATGATAATGTTGAAAAGGCAATTCAAAAATGTTATGCTACGCATCTGTTTATTATAATTTATAAGTACAATTAAAAAGTATTAAATGTTTACTATGCAAAACATTTTTTAAGATTTTAAATCTCCCTAGAAATTTATTGTCTAATACTAAATGATAAGCAACCATACTTTATTCTTGTAGTCTTGTTTCAAACCATACTAAAGTAAAAAAGATGAGACACGTTCATAATTTGTATTGATTATGACAGATTAAAAGTTTAAAGTTCTCAATTCAAAAGCTGATTTGACCTTAATGTCCTTGCAAAAAAAAGGAAAGATTTTTATTGTCAGGTCGTAAAAGGAAATGATCACAGCAACCATGGTTATTACAACATTATACTAATCTTATCAATCGCATTTAAAAAATTAGCCTCCACGCAGTGTTCGATCTAATAAA